GTTATTTCCACATAAAGGCCGACCTGGTGAGACGGTTCTGAGTTTTGGAGGGATTTGTGAAAGCCGATGTAATTCACTGGGCATTCTTTGTGTGTGGCTTGATATGTTGCGAAGACAAAACTGCTAAACAAGGAGGATCAAAAATTGCTGCCATTGCTGATAATGCAAATGGAGGGATTAGACTGACTTTTTACTAGAGAATGGGGTGGGCCAGACCTTGGAGGGGGAGGCCAGCTGACTCTCTGAGTATTTGTTCTTTCCCTGCTCCTCCTTTCATCTCTGGGTGGGCGACAAGGGGAGTTTAGGGAGTAGTCTGCTAGTGATCCAGGCCAGTAACAGATTACTAACCCCTGCCTGTGGACCATTAGCTGTGCTGGTTAGCCAGCTGGGGGGAGGCATAGCCAACTGCCCTCATTTCCTCCCCCTTCTGGCCACTCCATACGTGGCGTGGCATGGTGTGGGGAAATACCTTGTGGCTACGTCTAGACTGGCATGATTTTCCGGAAATGCTTTTAACGGAAAAGGTTTTCCGTTAAAAGTATTTCCGGAAAAGCGCGTCTAGATTGGCAGGACGCTTTTCCGGAAAAAAACTTTTTCCAGAAAAGTGTCCATGGTCAATCTAGACGTGCTTTTCCGCAAAAAAGCCCCGATCGTCCTTTTCGCGATCAGGGCTTTTTTGCAGAAAACACTACTGTGCTGTCTATACTGGCCCTTTTCCGGAACAGTTTTCCGGAAAAAGACTTTTGCCTGAACGGGAGCAGCATATTTTTTCCGGAAAAGCACTGATGATTTTACATTAGATCGTCAGTGCTTTTCCGGAAATTCAAGTGGCCAGTGTAGACAGCTGGCAAGTTTTTCCGGAAAAGTGGCTGATCTCCCATTGGCCAGAATCCAGCCAATGACTCCTGGCCGTGTGTATCCCCTATTTTTCCACCATCCCCATGTGCCTGCAGTGAAGATGTGGGGAAGCCTCACAAAATATATTAATGACCCCACATTGTCAAGTTTGCCAGGCTGTAATCCAGCCCATAGACAGCAACATGACAAATGTTACTCCCTTGAGAGACGATTATATCTTTTTGTTTCCTTTAAGACACAGCCAGAACTCAGATTTACGGTGTATAAATGAGAAATTCCACCCCTTGTTAAGCAGATATTGGGCTGTAGAAGATAATTAACCACCTCTCATGGTTTACCCAACCAGCAAAACTTGGGTCAGGAATTGCTCACCACCCCCATTAATTGTCCAGAACAGACTGGCTGGTGTTGGACCAAATATTATCTCACCAACATTTAATATCCCTGCCATAGCATGAAGGGAAACAGAAACCCGAGAAGAAGAGAAAATTAGAGTGGTGGGAAGAAAAACAGTTTCTTAACTGTGCAATAGATTCTGTCTGTCTAATGAATCCCCTTTGAAAACCACCCTCAGTAATAAATTAGGATGTAATATATTGCAGATGGATCAACAATGGCACACATACCGCTTTATGTATCTGACACACAGGTGTTTGATTTTGTGTTTGACAGCAGGTCAAGGAGTGGCCATGTTGAGACCAATCCTGCCCCCCTGAGCAGTCCAGAGAATGACAATTCTATTTGGTGACAATGTTCAGGGTTTCAAACATTGTTTTTGCTCCTCACTGGAACCAAATCAAAATCTTTTTGAACATTTTCACAAAATGAATTTGTATTGAAACAGATGTTTTTGGATCAAAGAAACCTCAGGTTTTCAATTCACATCCCTCCCCTCCATCTCTTTTTTTTTTCCCCCTTTCTCTCCAGAAGTGACCAGAATACTCAGCACAGGCCTTTGGGCCTGCGAATGCACCCTCTAAAGTCCCCCAAGCCAGCAAGAGGGGGCTCCGTGGCCATTTTCCAGATGGTCCACAGCTCGAGTTCAGCCCCCCTTCTTCCCCTCACAGTGGGGATCCCGTGCTAGCGCTACAGCCTCACCCTCTCCTGCGAGACTGGAGCACCAGCGTCGCCTTCCCACTGTGGGATGCGGTAGGAGAGAAAGCCCCAAGCCTTGCTGGGTGATATGGCTTGCAGGGAAGAAGTGCTCCCCTTTCTCCACCCCTCCCCTTGCTGAGGGAACAG